TTTGAAGCTTCTTTTATGGGCGGACATATGGTAAACTGTTGTTTAAGCTTCATGTGTGCTTAAAAAAAATCTATTCTGGGGTGGTAGGGTAAGCTCTCTTCCTGTGTTATCCATGTTCAAATTATCCAAATCAGTCCTAATTTTGTCTGCTTTAGTCACTGGAATTAACTGTGATCAAATTCTCCACTATGGTTGTGGACTTCCCTATTTTTAATTCTATTTTCTTACATTTCTGACAATTTTTAAAAATCGTATGTGTTGAGGTTGTGTTTTCAAATGCATAGAAATTTAGAATTATTATTTTGTCTTATTAAATGAAAACACTAGTGAAATGCTCCTGTGTAACTCTATTGATGCTTTATACTTCAACTTTATGTAGTTTTTATTAAGCCTTATCAGCTTTCTTTTAGTTAACTGTTTCTATGAACTACTTTGGTCTAACTTTTATTTTTAAGCTTTCTATACCCTTATATGTTAGACACATCTTTTATAAACAATAGCTAGTTGTTTCTTTAACAATAAATGTGTTCTGGCAATCCTATATTATCAGTTAATCTTTTCCATTTGTTATATTTACTGATGCATTTGGATAAAAATCTACCACCTTCCTATGTATTTTTAAGTGTTTTATATTCCCGTTTCTTTCTTTTTTGCCTTCTTTTGGACTGTTTGGGTGGCTTTTTGGAAAAGTTTTGATGGATATATAATAATTGCACAGCATTCTGGGATATAACCTGTATTTCCCATGATCATCATAGCAAAGTTCACAATAGCAACGTCTTAGTTACTTCTCTTGTTGCTGAGACAAAATGCCAACACCCCAAGTTAAAGAGGGGAAGATTTATTTAGCTCACAGTTTGTACAGCTTTCACTCCATAATCAGCTAGTTCTAAGGCAGTGTGAAGTGGCAGAAGAGACTACTTCATAGTGGGCAGACTGCAGCAAAGCAACAAAGGAGAGAGAGAGACAAGCCTGTTTCTGTCCCTTATATTATATCTAGTCTACCAGGATTTGGGCAGTGCCAATCCAATCAGTGGGTTGATCTAGCAATCACTCATCCTTAATCCAAGTACCCTTAATCCCAGTGCTGTATTAGCAATCAGTCACACAGTCTACATTCAGCCACCTCTAAAAAAAAAAAAATCCTATGACTGCATGAGGCTTTAGGGGGACATCTAGACACAAATCATAACAAGCAAGAAGTAGAATGACTGATATGTCCATCAACAGGTAAATGGTGCTGTGTATCACGGTGAGGTACAATCAGCCATGAGAACAGACAGAATCTTTTCATTTGCAATGACACAGATGAATCTAGAGGACATTATGTTAAACAAGATCAACCAGGCACAGGAAGACAATGCCGCATGATTTCACTCATACAAGAGTTGATTTCATGGAAGTAGAGAGTAGAACCATGATTTACCAGGAGCTGGGGAGACTGGGCATGAAGGAGGACTAAGAAGAGTTGAAGCAATTTTACAGACCCATTATCCTACCCTTTTAGTTTGGAAATTGTATACTTTTTTATTTCTATTCTTTTAGTGGTTACCCTGAAATTATAGCATGGATTGTTGGTGTATCAATGTCTAATCTTAATCTACATTCTACCGTGAAGGTAATCAGCACTCTGCAACAATCTTAACTACATTTAACTACTTTCAGGTTTATATTCAATTATTCCCAGCAGATCATGGCCTTTCTGGTCAGCTGATTGCAGAGGGGAGAGGCGGGATACTTTCTGTGTAAGTGTAGTTTCCTGGATGAGGTAGGAAGAACTGTTTAACCTGCAAGTTGGTCTGGTTTTAAAGAGACACTTTGTTCTCATGATTAATCCCAAATGAAAGTCATTAAAAAGTTATTGCCATTTCTGGGGAAAAAGTAGAAGATGTTGCTTGGTGAAATTAAGCTTCAATTAAATTATGTTCCACATATGCCCTGAAAGTAGAGATGCTTTTACCATTCATATTTAATTTAGTTCAGTAAAGTGGAGACACTTATTTTTTATAGTGTGGCTGAATATATTCAGCACATCTACTGCTGCTATGCTCATGTTTACCTGTCTCTGAAGCTGTGCGATAATAGATCCATAGACTTCCTTGACATTTGATATGGGAAGTATCTTTGTTACTTTTCTCTTGTTGCTGAGACAAAATACCTGACTCCCAAAGTTAAAGAGGGAAAGGTTTATTTAGCTATTTAGCTCACAGTTTGTGGAGGTTTTAGTCCGTAATTTGTTGGTTCCAAGCAAAAGCAACAAGAGCAAAAGAGAGGAGTGGGAAGTGAGCGTTTTTCCTCTTTTTTTTATATATATATATATATATATATTTGTTTTGTTTTTCTTCCAGTACCAGGAATCAAACTCATGACCTTGCACTTGCCAAGCAGGAACTTTTGCCACTGAGCTAAATCCCCAGCCCCTTCTCTTTTATATTGCAAGCAGGCTACCTGCCCTGGGGCTGGTGTAGCATTCAAATCTCCATGCCCTCCTCTTGCACAGGATGAGGATGTTTGCAAAGTAAGGACCCTGGCTCTCTGCTGAGTTACTTAGTTAAGCTTCAAAACTTCTCATCACAGTGCTAAACTATCTACTTTCTCCATGAGCCCCATTATTCCCTAGTTAGTAAATTATATTTCAGTGGGTTCATGCAATGGATAGGGTAGCTAAACCTTTAGCATTTAGTAACTGGGCCACTGGCCTCCTGGGGAAAGAATACCAGAAATTTCCTCACAATCTCAGGGCCTTTGTCTATAACAAACTCTCAAGTTCTTCTTCCCCAGCCTTATTTTGGCCCCATCCATCTTACAGATGGGATAACTGATGCTGAGAGACATGAAGTGTTTCATGCATGGTCATTTGGCTAATGACCCAAGTGTTCTCCTAAAGTGTAAGTCCTCACTCTCAAGTTCACAAACACGTGGAAATGAAGGTTCCAGAGTGTACACTGGTGTAAAGTGCATTTCAAATTAGTGGCAGCACATCCTGCAGCAATTGTCCCATTATTGTACAGATCTCCAGTCTTTTGGGGGTAGAGAGGGACACAACATCACAATAGCTATAAGACCACATCCACAGTTAGTAAAGAGCACAGAGCCCCTTGCTGCCCCATTCTCCCCTCAGTTGAGAACCTCCTGAAGGATGATGACATGAGCCGTCTTCTGCCAAGGGCCTTGACAGAGATGGAACATGCCTGTCAAAAGGGCCTGGGCTCTGTTTTGCTGCCGAGGGGACTTGCTAGGATTCATTCTACTAATCGGCTCACGTGCGGGCAGCTATTTTAACCCAAATTTTGTGATCCTTCTGTGGCACCTCTTGATTTAAAGGGAAGTGTTGCAAAACACTTCGGAGCCACTCAAAGGGCTTCTGGGGTTCCTCAAGTTTAGCTGATCGGTCAGAGAGGAAAGCAGCCTTCACAACTGTTTTGTAGACACAGGAAACTAGAATATTCAGGCGCCTCAACTGCAGAGACTAATTTTAAGAAAGATGGTGACTGAGGAGTCTGATTTCTGTCTAAAGAGATACTTTCCCTAAGGTCAGATGGAATTGAAAAGAGAATTTATGGAAAAATTGCCCCCCTGACCTTAAATGCACAGTCTTTGAGTTGATGCTGTAACGAGAAATGGAGTATTATTAAAATATACTGAGCATTTTAATGACTCTACTTGCAGTCAGCCAAAAAAAAAAAAAAAAAAAAAAAGGAAGATAATGAAAAAGAAAAACGAATTAAACTCTG